AAGTATTTTTCTCTGCAACAGCTCTTTAAGCAGAGGACAAACCCCGGCAGCCGCAGTGACTCCAGCTGGGCGAGCCGGCAGCCACTGAAGCAGCAGTTGCTGGAACCAGGAATAAATGCCTGAAGTCAAGGCTTAAGACCTCACTGGCTTAAGTGCTTTAGAAGCAAAATAAAAGCTTACAAACTCCATGTAAAGTTACTGCTATTACAGGCTTAAAGGGTTACCAAACAGGAGAGGGAGAATGAGGGAGCAGCGGCAAGAGCACATGATCCCAGAACTAACATGGAACATGACACAGACCATGCTTCTCTGAGGATCCTCTGCTACTACCTTGTCCCCAAAAAGGAAAAAAAAAATTTGGGGCAATAATCTTGAGCTGTGGGATGCAAAAAAAAAAAAGCCAAGCAGGGGCTCCCCTGGGCCAATTTTGGTCCCAGTGGGACTCACCATCACCACAGCTCCCTGCACTTGGGGATGGCACCGATGCCCCCAGAGCATGGAGACTGAGCTCCAGTTCAGGGAAAGTTCACTGGGTTGTCTGGGCTGGGGAGCAGAGTAGAGACAAAGAGAAGCAGCAAACAATAGAAACTTAGACATTAGGAGTGGGCAAAGTGGGGAAAAATATGTTCTGTTCATTAAAGAGAGAGACAGGGAGATGGGGAAGCAGCAACAGGAATGACTCAGGTCATAGAGAACAACAAAAGAAATCTGCTATAAGCAAACAAATCCAGGCAGGATGAAGGCCATGAAAACCTGTAAGACAGAGCACACAAAAAACCATATTTTCCAGAAAGCTGACAAAAACACGTCTGTGGGATTGAGAGCATAATCAAAGCTCAGCATGAAAAGGGCTGTGAGGGAAGACACAGGCACGGAGCAGACCCTGGGGAGAGCAGAGCAGAGAACACGGTGATCACTCCAGCACTCGCCCACAGGCTCCCTGTGCAGAGAGAGCTCAGGCCACAGACACTGTCTGCGCTCAAAGATGCTCTGGGTGAGGCTTTTTCTACCATCTCTGACAACTGAGCTGGAATGAATTCACATGATAAAGCAGATCTGCAGCTCCACTGAGTCCCAGGGCAGTACAGGGAGTTGGGAAGGTGAGCAGTGGGTGTCTGTCCACCCCCCTGCAGACATGCTGGGACTGAAGTCCTTCATGTGAATTTATTTTTTCAATGAGCCAAAATAACAGGAATGCCGAGGTTGAAAGCACTGGAGTGAGTTCAAAAGACAGCATTTCCACTGGGAAATAAATCTCTCACCATTTTGTATAATTAGGCAAGGAAAATGAAAAACCATTTCTGAAAGAATTCCCAGAAGCAACATCCAAGGAGGAGGTGAGAGGTGTGCTGGGCAGGAATGTGGGGCTGGGCTCGGCTGTCACTGCCACACGAACACGGGGGGGCATCTCCAGCAGCAGGGCTGCCAGTGGTCCTGCAGCTCCTCCAGATGTGCCACCAGGAGCACTGGCACAGAAGCAGGGCACGGGCAGCTCCAGGGGGAAAGAGAGGGGGAAAGAGAGGGGGAAAGAGAGGGGGAAAGAGAGGGGGAAAGAGAGGGGGAAAGAGAGGGGGAAAGAGAGGGGGAAGACAGGAGGAAGACAGGAGGAAGACAGGAGGTTGTGCCACCCCCGGGCTCCTGTGCCACCCCGGGGCACAGGGGCCGTGCCTGGCCGGTCTCATTCGCCATCTAGTGGGGAGCGGCCACGGCTCGGGGCTGGCCCCGGGTCCGGCTCCGGGCTGGCCCCGCCGGGGGCAAAAGCCCTCCCAGCCCATGGAGTCCATCCTGTGCCCCATCCCCACCCGGTCCCCAGCCCAGAGCACCGAGTGCCACCTCCAGCCCTTCCTGGGACACCCCAGGGATGGGGATCCAAACCTCCCTGGGCAGTTCCAGCACCTGACCCCCTTTCCATGGAGAAATTCCTGCTGATGTCCACCCTGAGCCTGCCCTGAGGCCGTTCCCTCTCCTCCTGTCCCTGCCCCTGAACCTCCTCCTCCTCATCCACACTCATCCACCACAACCTTACCTAAATGCCTACCTTGTTCTGTGCCACAAGACACAGCCTAATCTGTGCCTCTCCCAAACCCGCAGCCCAGCACAGCCACCAGCAGCCAACACAGCTTTTATTCCTGACTCAGGTTCCAAGGAAGTTTCAGAATCGCTCTGGCCTCCACCACATACATTTGCAAACTGCGTTAGCAGAGGAGAAAATCCATAAGAAACTGATCCTGAGTATCTTAACAAAACCAAACACCACCGCTCCGTCGTGGAGTTAGCAGTTTCTCCTGTTTCCAGCCTCTGCAACATGGAAGAAAATCCAAAGTCAACACGGGGGCTTTATCCAAATGAGTAACAAGTGGTAAGAGTTAACGGCGTGATGAGGGCTGTCTGGAGGCTGCTCTCACTGTGAGACACAGCGTAAATCTTCTCAAGTTGTGACAAATGTCTTGGCTAATGCAGCCACATTCTATGTTTAAATCTCACTAAGATGTAATTTGACATTTGGGTTTACTTTTTTCATTATAATTAAGAAACAAACTCCAGTCCGCGCTAATCTCTCCAGAGCCTGAATTTGCACATGGAATTACCATCCCCACCGTGCCAACCCTTCCCCACTCTACAGTCAACTCAAAGGAAAACCAGACATTCTTTTCTGTAGGGTTCTTTGGTTACAGAAATACAGTCAAAGCATAGGATGGATATTTCTGAGTGCAAAGGTTAAATCCTCATCTCTTGCTCAAGGAAATCCCTGCGGAATAGGTAACATGAAGACAACACGCTGCACCCTGGTGTTGTAAGATAAGAACCCAAACAGAACAGCCCACAGCTGTACTTTTGATGGATGGAGGAGGATAACTGAGGACAAGGAGCTGCCTCGTGTGTCAACACACTCCACCTTCAGCAGCAAAGTGTCTCTCTTGGCTCCCTTTCCATGCAGGCAGCATTCCCATCGCTCCCACTCCGCACCTGGAAGGGCAGTGGAAGCCATTAGCAATTAAGTGCCACAAGGTATTGCATTAATGAAGAGCCACAGCCCCTGACGTGCTGGATGAGCCAGCTGCCCTCACCTCAGCTGATGGGCACACAGGGGAGAACAGCAGCACACAGGCAGCACCACCTGTGTGGTTTTGAAGGAGTTCTCATGACCAGATTCTGGAACAGGATAATCCAGGCAGTCCTGTCCTGGTTGCTCCATGGAACCTTTGGTATGCACAGCTCTTTGCATCTGCACCTCTGCAGACTGGCTGTGCTCCTGTGCTGCAGCCTGGTACCATCAGCAGCTTTCCTGCAGCTCCCATGGCAGCTGACTGGCTTTGCCATCCCTGCCACAGCAGCTCCCAGCCTGCTGGTGAGCAGTGGAGGCAGGTGAGCAGGCTGGAGGAGCAAAAGACTCCATTCAGATTAGGAGCAACAATGCACATTTTGTTTCTGAAGAAACAGTGCCACCAGAATCGAGCAGGGGTTTCTTTAGGAGGGGTCAAGACAGCTGGAGAGGCACCTTGGGGATCAAGAGCCAAGGGTGGAGGAGCAGGCTGGCTCTCCCAAACAAGGGCCCCTTCTCAACATATGATAGAAAAAGGGAGCAGAGGCTGTCACACAACCAAAGAATCATGGAATGGTTTAAATTGGAAAGGCCCTTAAATCTCATCCAGTCCTACCCTGTTCAGCATGGATCTGGACCAGGGATGGGGCAGCCCCACTTCTCTGGGCGGGTGTAAATTGAAAGGAGAGAGGTTCAGCCTTGGGGTCAGGAGGCCAGGGAGGCAGCTGGGCGGGAGCCCAGGTAGGCTGTGCCCTCTCCTCCCTCGGATGCTCTCAGCTCTGACCAGCAACACCCCGAGCAACCTGCTCTGAGCAGGAGGCTGGACCAGAAACCTCCTGAGCTCCTATCCTACCTGAATTACCTGATGGATCTACGACTCCAGGCTGGGACCTGGCTGCAATCCACCACGCAATCCTTTCCCTGAAATGCAGGGCAGCACCTCCCACATGCAGCCTCCCGATCTCCCAGCTGCTGAACGCTCCAAAAGCGAGCGCCGGACCAAGTCCAGCGCTCACGGAACAGCCTCGTGTGCCCAGCCCTCACCTGGCTTCAGTGAACATTCTTCCTGACAAACAAGAACCTTTCCATGGGTCTGGGGGGATCTGCTCAAAGCAGGGCCAGTCTGTGGGAGCAGGCTGTGCTGGGATGGGACACCCTGCTCCCTTCACGGACTCTGCTCCGACTGCCAGAGCCCGGCTCCAGCCCCTCCAAAGCCACACGGGCTGTCACAGAACAGCCCGGGCTGCTCTGGCTCTCCACATGGCTTCTTTTCATAGCCCAAAACGCTGCTGGCCACGAGCAGGCACAGAGGCCACAGACTGTCCTGGCAGTGCCATGGCAGAGTCACCACACGAAGCTGGGATGGGCCACACCGTGACCCCCGAGGGACCCGCTCACAACCAGCCAACGCTGGCAGTGAGGTCTGCGAGTGCATTCCAAAATAAAAACTAACAGCAGTGAGTTTTCTGCAAACCTCCAGAATCCCTTCCAGAGGTGAGGAAGGCTTTGGCACAGCAGGAGCAAACACGGGGAACAGGGGCCACACTCCTCCGCTCACACGAAATGCACAATTCTCTACCAGACCCAGAAACGGCTGCCAAGGAGCCGCAGGACTCCAAAAGCCCTGGAAATCCACAACGTATTTTCTTCCACTGCTCTTTTTGCCATGTTTTCCTTTCAGCACGGCAGAGCAGCATGTTTGTGCTGGCCGAGCCTACCCTCCTCCTCTCCACCGCACCTCCAAGCAATCCAAGCACGGGAGATACAGTATTACCTCAAATATTTAACCAAGGGATTAAACTGCTCCCTTGGCAGGAGGCAGAGCTGCCCCACGGATGCAGCTCCCTCAGGGCTGGCGCGTGCTGCGTACAGCGAGCGCCGTGCCCCGGGCTCCCGAGAGCTCGCCCCCATTTCCTCTGCTTTCTGCCCCAAATTCCTGCCCAAAGCTCCTGCTCACCGGCTCCCGGCCGTCCATCGCCTCCATCCACAGCCGCCGGTCCTCCTCCGACAGCGCCTGCATGGTGATGACACCGGGCCTGCCAACAGAAAGGGGACGCCGTCAGTGAAAGATGAATTTGTCAGAGGAAGAGGCAAGGAGGACAAGCTCCTTCCTAGCCAAGCCTCAGCACAAGGAGGACAAAAGCCATGGAGATCCCTGCAGGCCCTGACCAGGATCTCCAACAACCAACACACCTTTCCCGTGGTTTTGTGCAAGAGCTGGGTGCCAAATTCCTCCTCTGGCCCTTGGCCAGCCAGCTCACCTGCGCTGGGTTGAGCACATCCAAGCAATGGCAGAAGGCAAGGAAGGTAAGCAAGGAAGGTAACCAAGCAAGCAGGAGCCTCACACAACCCAGTCCCCCGTGTCTCAGCAGCACCCCAAGCACCAGGCTCGCAGAGACCTTCTGCTGTGCAAAGCATTTCATCCCCAAGACATCCATGCCCTCATGGCTGTGCCAGTGCCCAGCTCCTGTCCTTACCCTGCTGTAAGACACCGCAGTGGCAGTGACACAATGCTGTCCCCCTCCAGCAGCCTCACGGGGAGCAGTGCAGGAGACCCAGGGTGCCCAGGGTGCTGCTCCTGCCCCCAGCACTGTCACACACACCACAGCCCTGTGCCCTGAGCTGCCCTGTCAATCCAGCCTCCAACACACAGCCCTGGGGCTGCTCATTTACTCTAATGAGAAGGGGAAAGGACAGGCCTGGGTGCTGCACACACAGCACAGGAGTGGGGGACAGCAGTGGCACCACCCTGGCCCAAGGGCCAACGCCACTCCGGGCTCCTCAGTGGACACTGCATCCACCCTTGGACCACCTTTCCATGCCAGGAGTCAAACCCCTGTTACCTGCTCTGCTGGGCGTGAGCAGTAGGGAGAGGATGGATTTGACAAGACAGAGTGTTTGGAGGGGTGGGGGGTGTGGGGACACGGAGGGTGGGAGCTGTATCCCACACCAGGGCTGGCATCTCACTGCGCCACGCTTGGCTGGGAGCTGCCAGGATTTCCATCTGCCATCCCAGCCCGTCCTGCAGCCTGGATCCCAGCACACACAGCCTGCTCTGCCCAGCCCTGTGCCCTGGGGCTGGATGTGCAGCCCCACGGGGTGGGCACGTCCCCCAGCCTGCCCCCGGGCTCAGCAGACACAGAGAGCTGTCCGTGCCTCTGGCCCCGCTGCTCCCAGACACAGCAGCGCAGCAGATTCCCTGGCAACGGGGACAGGCAGGGGGGCTGCTGTGCTCTCTGCTGAGGGGTTTCATACCCTGACTGTGACAGCTGAGAGCCTCTGTGCTGCTCCTCCCAGCCCAGCAGAGCGGGGGCTCTGGAAGGGCACAGCACCAGCAGGGAGGGAAGGGAAGGGGATTAAACCTCCAGCCACCTGCAGAGTGTTGCACTGAGCACGTAGGCTCTGTGCAGTACTCAGCCCCCAAAACCTGATAAAGCCTGGGCACAGGAGTGATTTCTAACTTGAACTTCCCAAGGGTGATTCAGCTGGAAAACGTGAGCTGCGCCAACACTCTGCAGATGGCCTTTGGTCCTTGATAAGAGCCTGTAAGAAAATTAAACTTTAACAGGGGCTCTCAAGAGGTGGGCTTGGCCCCTCTGCTGCTGCTCCGTGGCACGCACAGGCCAGGAACGGAGGATTAACCCTTCTCCCCAGCTCCACTCCCCATCCAACAGCCCAGCTTTCAGCACACACACGGCAGCTCAGCACTGTCCCACCAGTGGAAGCTGTGCCCAGGTCCAAAACCCAGACATAATGTGCTTGATCTCTGCTAATCCCATTGGTGAGTCAGTCAATACTCACCAGCTTAGTGGTTTGGAAGTTTACTCACTTCAGAGGGAAGAGGAAACCACTTAACCATCACCCCATCTGAGAGGGAAAGCGCTCCACAATCCAACAGCAAATATGTTCAAAACACTGCACAAAGCTCCTTGTTGTGCAGGTACAAAGTGACTCAAGAGCAGTCCCTGGTACCTGGTGAGCTGCAGTGGCCACTTTAGCCAGGGCTCAGGTCTGACTTTAAGCCAAGCTGCTGCTAAAGGCAGAGACACCTCGGTCAGAAAGCCCTGGAAGGGCTCTAGCTCAGCTAGGGACACACAGGAAAGGAAATACTGGGATTTCTGTCCCTTCAGCCAAGGCATTAGAACAGAGACATTTAAACCCTCCATTCATGGTATGCTGGGCACTGGACTCCCAGCAGAGCACGGTCCCAGAGTGGCAGCGCTGGTATCTGGAGTGCCAGCTTCCCTCAGCACAGGGCAAAGAGGTGATAACAGCAAAATGTTTGTTCTGCCTCTGAGCAGATAACCACTCCTCGGGCTTCACTTCAAAGCCAAACTCCTTTAACAGCACGAGGGGAGGGGCTGTGAAACTGAATCAAACCCAATTTCCATTGCAAATAGCCCTGCTTTTCCTCCCCCGGTGTTTATTTGCCAGGGCACCCATTGCATCACTTTCCTGAGCAGAACCATCTTCCTGGCCGTGATAAATTTAAAATGCACCCACACATTACGCCTCATTCATTATGGATGTGGCCGGTGCCCACGGGGCTCCATGTGCTCACAGCCAGGTCGGATGGCTGGCACTGGATCAGCCTCCTGCTGAAACACTGCCTGCCAACAGCACCATCCCCATGGAGCCTCCTCAGGACCACCTCCTTCCACAGCCATGGCAAAAACCCTGCTCTGAATCCTTTCAAAAACCCTGCTCTGAATCCTTTCAAAAACCCTGCTCTGACATCCTTTCAAAAACCCCGCTCTGATGTTCTCCCAAACACCCTGCTCTGACATCCTTTAAAAACCCTGCTCTGAATCCTTTCAAAAACCTCGCTCTAACATCCTTTCAAAACCCTGCTCTGATGTTCTCCCAAAAACCCTGCTCTGACATCCTTTAAAAACCCTGCTCTGAATTCTTTCAAAAACCCCACTCTAATGTTCTCCCAAAAACCCTGCTCTGAATCTTCTCAAAAACCCCACTCTGACATTCTCCAAAAACCCTGCTCTGATGTTCTCCCAAAAACCCTGCTCTGAATCCTCTCAAAAACCCTGCTCTGACGTCCTTTCCCAAAAGATTAGCAACACACATCTGTCCCCCTCACCCAACAAATGACCCCAACTACTGGGGGTCGCTTAAACAGATAATTCTTTATAAGGATAACACAGAGCAAGCACAGATTTTGGTGTGGGGCAGCTCCCAGCTCCTCCCAACACGCAGGATGCACCTGGAGCCAGCCCACCCCAGCTGTGCCACCAGGGCAGCAGGACACCCTCCTGCAACCTGAGCTGTTGTGGAGATCCAGGACCTGCTGATTCACTCCTAGGTGCTGCATTCCAAGTTTCCACCTGCGGGCACCAAACCCCTTTGCCTTTTTCTGGGACATGAGGAGGGGAAGGGATATTTTGGGATCAGAAGAAATCCATTTCTAAACGGAGTGAGTGTAGGAGGGTGAGACCAGAGCAGAACATGGCAAGCACTTAATAAGAAAGAATATTTTCAATATGGTATAATCTAAAAATGGAAGATTTTTCCATATGAGACCACACAGGAAATTTGAATTTTCTCAATATCTCAGCTTTTGTGACAAATGGCCTAGCCTTAAGGAGCTGTGACTAAGCACACTGAGAAAATGAGAAACTGCGATAGCTTTTCCTTCTTCCAGGAAAACAAACAAATAAGGAAAGCAATAGAAAGAGATAAGAACTTCCAACTGCTGTAGCAGCTTATCACAGCGAGACAATCTAAACTGCTGATGAAAAGGCACAAGAGTGCATTAATAACAGGGGCTGAGTGCACAGAGATCTTCCCAGTCCTGAGCAGAGCAGTGCAGCCCTGGCAGGACCCCACGGCCATGGGCCAGGCACCAGCAGCCAGACGTGGCCCCAGAATGCTGGGGAGCAGAGATGGAATTAGGGGGAAACTGCCCCTGAACTCACAAAGTCTGGGTGCCCACGCAGAGCTCGGAGCACTGCCAGCACTGCCACCAGCAGCACGACCACCAGCACTGCCACCAGCAGCACAACAGCCACCAGCACTGCCACCACCAGCACAGCCACCAGTACAACAGCCACCAGTACAACAGCCACCAGCAGCACAACCACCAGCAGCACAACCACCAGCACAACAGCCACCAGCACAACAGCCACCAGCACTGCCACCACCAGCACAGCCACCAGTACAACAGCCACCAGCACAACAGCCACCAGCACATCCCGCAGGCTCGGGGCCTCCGTGGCTCCCGTGGCCACCAAGGGGAAGGAGCCTCATCCCTCACTGTGACAACCCATCCCTCACCCCCCTGCGACAGCCCCAGGCTTTGCTGTAAAGGTCGCTGGAAAGGTGACACCGGCAGAGGAACAGGGACAGGCTGCACTGCGCAGGGCTGGGGGCACCTGGCACAGGGGGCAGGGCACAGCTCCTGCCACTGCCAGAGCCCTGCATCTGTCAGCTGCATCCCCAGAGCAAGGCCAGCAGCCCTCCTGGGGAAAACCATCTGCTCAGGACAGCACTTGGCAGGCACCTGGCAGCCCTGCTACCCCCATGCCAGCCACGCAGCCACTGCACCGGTTCTTTCAGGAAGAATTTCTGTATGGAAAGGGTGGTCGGGCATTGGAAGGGGCTGCCCAGGGAGGTTTGGATTGCCCATCCCTGGAGGTGTCCCAGGAAGGACTCTGGACTGGGGCCAAGGTGGGGATAAGGCACAGCTTGGACTCGATGGTGTTGGGGGTGTTTTCCCACCTCAGTGACTCTGGGATTCCCCTGTGTCCAGGTGTGGTGCCAGTCACTCCGGGGCACCCAGGCAGAGTCGAGGGCAGCGGTGGTACCTGCAGAGCTCACTGCTCTGGTGACACACCAAGAGGCCAAACCCTGCCTTTGAAAAGCTCCTGCTCCCCTAAAAGCCAGCTGGCACTCAGAAGCAGTTTGCTTCTGGCCCAGAGCAATGACCTACATTATCCTAAATGACAAAGCCGTTGTCATCAGTCAAATGAGATACTCCTTCTCCTCAGGCACATTTTATAGGACACTGGCTGACATCCCTGTTTTCCTTGTTTACAAACCTGATTTAATGTGCAGAGACTACAAACAAGTTTAGTTAATGAAAAAAGAGCATTAACAGTAAAACACAGTATCCATCACACAGGGGATGTGTCTCAGCCAGACCCTAGAACACCATTCTGGGGTTAATTCTGCTGTAACAACACAATACAATACTTCTAACTTGCTACACTGAACATGAGAGCTATTTGTAAATGCCAAGGCCAGGTTGGATGGGGGCTGGAGCAACCTGGTCTGGTGGAAGGTGTCCCTGCCCATGGCAGGGGGTGGAATGAGAGCTTTAAGGTCCAACAGAAACTATTCTGGGATTCTGTGACAAGGAGGCAATGCTGTACTAACAGATCAGGCTCCAGATTTTCAGCTTGGTTGTGCTGAATCACTTTACAGGAGGAAAAATCTTTTTTTTTTTTTTTTTTCCCACCTAAGAAGGAACAGCTCTGGGCTGGTGCTATTTAGGGTGCTTTGCTGAGCTGCAGCCCCGCAGCCTGTGTTGTGTGAGCTCCCCAAATGCAAGGCTGCCAAAAACCCGTTTCTGTGCAGGGTCTGAAGCTGCAGCCGAGGCTGCCACCTCCAGGCTGTCTGAGAGCTGGGAGCTGGCAGGGTGGAGCTGATCTCCAGCACACCCTGCCACCGACAGCGGGACCTGCTGGTGCCCACCTCTCCCCCAGGAAGAGGGAGACAGGCTGGGCACACCACAGCCTCTTTCAGCTGTGGCTAAACTTGTTTCCTCTTCCTCTTAAGTTTATCTTGGGAATATCCAGTATTTTAGACATCTAATGACAAATTCTGATACCAAGACAATGCAGAGCTGCCTGTGAATTGGGAAAAAACAGCCTTTTCCTTCAGGTGTGTCTCCTCTCCTGCTCTCTCAGGCAAATCCCTGCAGCAGGAATGTGAACATGAAAGGAGAAATTCCTCAGGTTTCCCTTCCTGTGCTACTCCACTGCCATGATTTACATGGAGCATGCAGATTTCTGGAGCAGCTCCTGATCCCATGCCTGGCAGGCTCCAAACATCAAGGGAAGCTTCAGCTGCCTCTGAACACACTGAAGAAAATTATTGTGACTCCATTCTCCTTCTCCAACTTTTTCGTTTGATTTTCACATTATAAAAAAATATCTTCAGGGCAGAGCAAAAAAAAAAAAAATTCCTGTGTCAGCAGAAATCCTGCAGTTTTCTGGAGAAAAGCAGAGCTCCAGAGAGTGGGAGGCAGCCCCAGGTTATCTCCTCCTTCAGCCAACACAGGCAGAGCTCCATCACCCCCACCCCTCCCTGCCACGGGCTGGCACTGAAAGCTGGACAGGGAGAGGCACCAGGGGTCATTCCAGCATTATTCAACACCCAGATTTTAATGAACTTGGATTTTTCTGAGACTTCCAGGGAATTCCTGCACATGGGAGGACACACTGAGTGCCTTTGCAGGGAACTTTTGTGAACCATGTGAACTTCTGCAGCGAGGGAGACCCGAGGCGGTGACTAATTCCTCCTGGAATAGCAACACCAGCCTGGCTTTCCTGTTTGTGTGTGTAAGCCAAGCATGATGCTAGCTGATAGGTAACAGCTCTCACTCCTGGGTGCCAGAGATTGAATCCACACATACCTCAGGTCCAGCTGCTGTGCGATAAGCCACAGCAGAAGTGTTTTCCTCCTTCAGGAAAAAGGAGTGAAAGTGCCTGGAGGCACGAGCCAGAGTCAATTATCACCCATCCACGATGAGCCAGCAACAGCCAGTCCAGCAGAAAGCTGACATTATTTCAACACATCGCCAGTGCTGGAAAGAGGCAGCACATCCCTCCCAGAAGAGCCACAGAGAGCCTTTTCCAGGCTGGCAACCACTCAGCCTTGTGTGGCCAGAGGCTGCAGAAGTGCTAAAACACCTTTCAAGTCAGGGAGACTTGAGTCAGGAAGACCTGTAAGCCAAAGCACTGACTCTAGACACAGAGAGCACCTGGCTGGGCAAGGTGTGATTCCTGGACTAATGCTTTCCACTCACAGGGGGTGTGACTAAGGGAGAGAAAACTGCACAGAACTGTCCCAAAGCCCAGGGCAGAGCACTGCCCTTCCCTCCACAGGGGCAGCACAGCCCCAGGAGCTTCCTGCAGCACTCACCGATCCACAGCCTCCACATCAAAGCAGAACCTCTTCTCGATGGAGTCTGTTTTCCGCCGCGTGCAGGATTTCAGGGTGACAGCTTCGTCCTCCCCCTGAGAAGAGACAAAATCACAGCTGGGGCTGAGAACAACCAACAGCCACAGCCCTGTCAATGCGCAGGTTCAAACCTGGGGGGATCTGGCAACATCACCCTGCTAAAAACATCTATTTATATCTCTGACAGGAGACTTGTCTTTTTTACTCTTATTTAGTCCAAAATCTTTCATGAGGAGCCTTCCCTTCAGGATGCCCACAATTCAATATGTGCATAAAGCACCACACATTCTTCATGTGGGCAGGTACTGGTGGAGCACAACTTTTGGGCAAAATCAGCTTTATTTTCCATTGCTGAACAACACTCCCTAGACCTGCTGGCAGTTTGCACTCCACGCTGTGTTTTTGGCAGCACTGTGCACACGAGGACTCTTAACAGGAGCAAACACGTCTAAAATTGTTTATTATATAACAAATCAATGACAAAACCATTCTCCCACCCCGAGAATGCCTCTCTGCATCCAAGCTGTACTGGGTTTCCAGAGGCCTGAGATCCAGCAGGATCTGTGAGCACTGCTGTCCTCTGCTGGAGGGAATCCTGCCTCAGCCCCTGCCAGCACAGACACTTCCCCTGCAACTGTGAAATTCCACTGATGACTTAAGAGAAAATGAATTCTGAAGGAGTTCCTGGAGACAGACACTTTTCTGGGCTCTCTGTGCTGTTCCTGATGACACCTTGGCTGACCACCCTGTTCCCTGACATCACCATTTTTCCAGGAAACATATTTAGAAGCACTTAGATTGGAAAAGACCTCAAAGATCACAGAGTCAGAAAGTTGCCCAGAACAGCCAAGCCCACCACTAATCCATGTCCTCACGTGCCACAAGTACACGTCCATTAAATCCCCCCAGGGAGGGCGACTCCCTGCTTCTTATCCATCAACTCCTCCCCACTGCCACCACCATTCAGCTCCTGACAACCAAAAGGCTCCCCAGCACTCAATCCTACCCATCCCAGCTGCTGGCAGCAGTTTTCCTGCTGTGCTCTGGCTCCCAGCCCCTCCTGCTCATTGCCCACGTTGCAGGCACTGCTGGAGATGCTCTTCTGTTGGGACTCTGAGCCTGCCCCCAAAAAAGCCTAACCTGACTGTTCTCATGGGCTTCCGTGGTTTCTGACCCACCAAGAACTCTCCTGTCCCAGCGAAGGGATCCAGCACAGACCCAGAAGAGCTCCTGCAGGGCTTGTCCCTGGGTCTGGCAGTGGGCTGCCCCTGGTGCCCCCCAGCCAGCACAAGGCTGCTGCCACTCTGCCCAGCTCCCTGTCCAGAATCCAGGGAATTCCCCTGCTCCAAACCCAGCTCTGGCCACAGCCCAAGGTCACTGGGCTGATGCCACCTGTGACCCAGGAGTGATGGGTGTCCTCATGCAGCTCCTCAGCACCTGCTGCAGCCAGATCCCAGAGCTCCCAGCAGTGCAGCCCCAGGTCCCCGGGCTGCTCCAAGCTCAGATGTCCATGGTGGTCACCACTGACAGCCCTGGAGCCCAGCCAGAGCTGCCCCAGCACCCCAGCATTTCCTGCCAGGGTGGTGCCAGGCACAAGTGCAAGCACAGGAGAGGGGCTCCAGCCTGGCCCTGCAGAGGGGCTCAGGTCTGCCAGCAGCTCCCACAGCCCTGGCTGCTGGGAGAGCCCTGAAATGGGAAGGGAGCAGACAAAACACAGTACAGGCACTGATGATTACAGGGCTGGGATATGTTAATGCTGAGCTATAATGAAGATGCTCCAAGGCAAGAGGAAATTAATTTTAGAAGCTTCCCTGCCCACAGCTGGCTCCCCATGCCAGCAGGAAGCCGTGTGGGAGCCTGTCCAGCTGCCCCAGGCACTCCCCAGCAAGGGGGTTGTGTTTGCAAACTGTCCCAGCTGGGAACTGTGGAGGGCTCTATTGTTCCTGCTGTACAGAGCAGCAAAGCCAGCCCTGGGAGCACGGGGGCACAGCATGTGCTGGCTCCCCACACCCACATCCACTGCTCCCCCTGCTCTTCACACCCCCAAGGGGAGCTCCAGGCTCTCCTGTGGCCCTGTCCAAAACAAAACAACTTCACTGGAGTCATAGGATCATCAGAGACTCACAGAGTGGTTTGGGTACAAAGGGCACTTAGAGCTCATCTTGTTCCACTCTGCCATGGGCAAGGACACTTCCACTCAACCAGGCTGCTCCAAGCCCCATCCAACCTGGCCTTGGACAAGTCACAGGCATTGGAGATGGAGCAAAATGATGAACAGCTTCTCTTGTCTGTGCCTTGGAGCAGGAACGAGGGACTGGGGAGCAGGCACCCATGGAGCTGGAGGGTGGTGGGTGCACGTGGCTGGCAAAGATCTGTGGGCTCTGGGGGTTTCCTGTCTTTTCTTTCTCAAACCAGGTGCCAAGTTCATTCCCCGTGGGGCAGCCACTCAGCCTGGAATGCATGTGACCCACTTCACTGCCTTTGTGTCACCTTGCCAAAAAGGTGACACAGTTTGATCCACAGGAGAGCCTGCAGCCAGCAGTGCCACGTGCTCCCTGGCAGGACACAGTCCTGCTGCCAGCCAGCACTCTCTCCCCTTTTCCTGCTGCTCCCAGCCCTCACTCACCCCATTCCCTGCTGCTCCCAGCACTCACTCACCCCTTTTCCTCCTGCTCCCAGCAGTCATTCACCCATTTTCTTGCTGCTCCCAGCCCTCACTCACCCCATTCCCTGCTGCTCCCAGCACTCACTCACCCCTTTTCCTCCTGCTCCCAGCAGTCATTCACCCATTTTCTTGCTGCTCCCAGCCCTCACTCACCCCTTTTCCCCCCGACTTCTGGTCGAAGGGCACCATGGTGATGCGCTTCGATTCCCTCTGGTAGGTGCAGTAATGCTTCACCCAGGAAGTGCCAAAGTGACCTGCAGAGCAAACACAGGGTTCATGCCCAGAACAGTTTCAATGCCCTCCCATCAGAACCCTCTGTGTTTAACCACCCTTTCACATGCCAGACTGCTGTACCTAACAGACCTTCATGGGGCACTGGCAGTGATTCTCCCTGGCTGCCACATTCCCACTGAACATGGGCCAATCCCTGTCTTCCTGCATCTGCTGAATCTGCCTTCGTGCCCGTCCTGGCAAACCCCTGCCCCAGGCTGCCACCCCCCGTTCCCCAGCCCAACACCTACGCTTCTCCTGCACGTAGAGATACCCCTCCATGGTGTAAGGGCTGATGTTTTTGTGCTCGTGGGGATTCTCCTTCATCTTCTTCATCAAAGCTTCAACCTCTGACCTGGTTCCTTCAAAGCGATTTCTTGTCTGCAAATTAAAACAGGAATGTCTTCTCTGCAGCACACGGGGTGGGGCTGGGTCCCTACAGCCCTGTGGGAAATGGGACTGGGGAGCCCAGGGGCAGCCACAGGGCAGGTCTGCTTCCTGGGCCTGAACTTAAGCTAAAGCAAAAATACTACAACAATTGGAAAGACCTTCCAGAACTTTAAGGGGTCTTACAAAAAGAGGAAGAGTGATTTTTGACATGGGTCAATAGCGATAGGACAAGGGAAATTGATTTAAACTAAAAGTGGAGAGATTTGGATTGGATATCAGGAAAAGATTCTTCCCTGAGAGGGTGGGCAGGCCCTGGCACAGAGCAGCTGTGGCTGCCCCTGGATCCCTGGTGGTGTCCAGGGCCAGGTTGGACAGGTCTTGGAGCAGCCTGGGACAGTGGAAGGTGTCCCTGCCTTGGCAGGGGTGGAATGAGATGAGTTTTAAGGTCCTTTCCAACCCAAACCAGTCTGGGATTCTGTGATTACAATACACAGGGCACAGGGACACTCTGGGCACACTCACATTCTGGATGCTGATTGTCAGCTCTGTCTTGAAATCACTGAAGTCCTTTGCCAGCTCGTAGCCATGGTGGTAGAACGTGAACAACCCCTGCAGAAAGGCCAGCAGCTGCATTGGGAAAAAGCAAATGGAGATGGTCAGTAGAGACCCAGAGCTGCACCCAGAGCCACCAGAGCTGAGGGGAGGGGGCCCTGCAGCCCCCCAGGGTGGAGGGGCTCCCTGGTGGGCCCTCTGTGAGAGGGGCTGTGGGGTGAGGCTGGACCCCCTGCACTGCCAGGGTTCCCCATGACTCTGTTTCACCACACCACCCCAGTTTTGTGCAGGCTGAGAGCTCACTTACAGGTTCCACAAACTCAAACATCTTCCTCTCCTGCACCTCCTGCACCTTGAAGACATATTCCAGGGAGACCTCGTAGAAGTGCTGCCGAACCAGGTCCACCTGGCTGTCTGCCTGCAGAGGGGTTGGAGAGGAAACAGAGCTCAGGAATGACCAGAGCACACCTGGCTCTGATGGGAACGCCCCCAGGCAGAGCAAACCCAGCTCCAGCCCCAGTCCCAGCTGGACAGATGGCACAGCAATAAACATCAACCTGATCCACCTGAGCAAGCTCTTCCTTCCGCTGAGAAAAATGCGTGTGCTGGCTCATGTTCTCACCTCCCCAACAGCTGGGTAGGAAACATGCAGTAGAGGTGTGAAAAATGGAAATCACGGTGAACTTGACAAGAAAAGGCAACTCTCCCTTTTCTGGAAAGCACTGACCCTCGCCAGGGATGCCACAGCCACATTTCACACACGGAATCCTCTGTCTAAGGTAACCCCTCCCTCGGTGGGAACGGGACCCAGCCCCGAACTGGGAGCTGCTTCCAGCGGGCTGCGGGCTCCTCCTGCCCACGGCAGCAGCGGCAGGCGGGGCGGGGCGGCTGGGATGCCGGCAGATGGCACCAGCAGCCAGCGCTGCTCCAGGGCCGCTCCGGTGCAGCTCCAGCGCTGCTCCAGTGCAGCTGCGCGGCGCCAGCATCCCGACTGTATCCCAAACATCCCAACTGCATCCCAGATTGCATCCCAACTGCATCCCAGATTGCATCCCGAACACATCCCGACTGCATCCCGACTGCTTCCCGGATTGCATCCCAAACACATCCTGACTGAATCCCAAACACATCCCGACTGCATCCCAAACACATCCCGACTGCATCCCAAACACATCCCGACTGCATCCCAAACACAGCCCGACTGCATCCCAAACACAGCCCGACTGCATCCCAAACACAGCCCGACTGCATCCCAAACACAGCCCGACTGCATCCCGACTGAATCCCGGACTGAATCACAAACACATCCCAAACTGAATCCTGAACAGAATCCCACACTGCGTTCCACACACATCCCTGACTGAATTCCAAACAGAATCCCAAACAGAATCCAAAACAGAATCCTGCACACATCCTGGACTGAATCTCAAACAGAATCCCGTGCTGCATCCTAAACACATCCCGGACTGAATCCCGAAGAGAATCCCTCACACATCCCGAACCAAATCCCAAACAGAATCCCACACACATCCCCAGCAGAATCCTGTACAGAATCCCACACTGCATCCCAAGCACATCCTGCACAGGATCCCACACAGGATCCTGCACACATCCCACTCTGCATCCCTCCTGGACCCTGTAGGGCATCTCCAGGCAGCCCCACAGGCCATGCTCTGTCCAGGGCACAGGACCACACCTCTGACAGCCACGAGTGGATCCTTCCCTCCACAGCCAGAATTCCTTCCACTCCCATGCCCCATATCAGCACCTCAAACACAAACTAAGCCGAGGGCTCAGAGGTCATTTCAAAGCCACCATTCCCTGGAACACGTGGGTGCTTCCACATGGGAAGTCATTTACAAACCCCAAGGACAAGGCTGGCTTGCAGGCACACCTGCCCAGATCCTGAGCCCTCCTCAGCCCTGATTTGCTGGAAGATGATCACCTGTGCCCCAGGTATTTCTGCCCTCAAGTCCCCAGCTCTGCTGGGCACAGTCCCACCACTGGGTACAGGAGCCCACCAGTGCCCCCAGTAAGGAATCAGCAGCACACCAGCACCATGCCCAAGGGCATGGACACACATCCTGCAGGACCAGCCCAGCTCTGAGCCAGCACAAGGAATTCCAGACTTGAAAGAAGTGATTGAAAACTCGGCATACTCATCCAGCAGGAGCACTTGTCACCATAGCTAACCACGTCCTGAATCACTGATGGCTCTTAAAGAGTTTAAGCCTGATCCCTTCTCCCCTGGAGCACAAAGCAGAGCAGCCACTTGCACAGGAGACTAGACATCCATGATTTGTGCTGGCACATGGGAAGCCTGCAGCAGAACCAGTTTCTTTCTGTTACACTCTTTAATTATAAACCTCTCTCCTTTTTGATTGCTATCCATTTTGGGATCTCTCTGATTTACTCACCAAGAAGGCTCCATATCCTTTCATTACAGGAAAAGGGGAAAACCCAGCACCCGCAGCCAGTGTGAGGGGAAAAAATGAGTTTACAGCCAGGAGAACCATTGTTAAAAGCTGTGTGAGGCATTCAAAAAGCTCTCCATGCTCCCAGCCAGACATGGAAACTGAGCTTGCTCTCACCTCCTGAAGCTGGGATTCTTTCTTCTTGGAAGACAAGTTCAAGTGTTTTTCTAGGACACCACAGTATTTCTCAGTCTCCTTGTCGTATTTCTTTTTGGCATCCTACAAAACAGGACAAAAAGTGTGACACTGAACACGACGGTCCCAGAGCAGCTGTGACAGCATCCCCATGGCAGCGGGCAGGATGGCAGTCCCAGGTGGGAGCCAACACGAGACAGGACCTGGGGGCAGCAGCTGGAAGCAGGTGAGGCTGCTTTTATCTGCCAGCATCAGGCAGCTACAGGAAGGCAGCTTGTGCTGCCAAAACCCAAGGCTGGAGGGAACCCCTCCTCTATTCCTGGGGCCCAGTGCTTGGTAAAACATCCAGATCCAAAAACCACAGAGCAAGGAAAGTGCTTTGTAAGCAGAACATGGTCACAAATCCACATCCCACCCCTGCTACCCCTTGCAACAGCTTCTCCTTCGTGTCACGGGGGACAAGGACACAGCACCTCAAGCTGTTTGTGGCAGCAGCATTAAGGATGCCAACTTCACTTTCCTTTGCACCCCTGTGCCAGCCTGGCCACCCCAAGATGCCAGGACCCAACCCATGCCAGCAGGTGCCTGCTGCAGGATTCCTCTCTGTGGTTTGTTTTCAGCTGCACGGGGCCGGGCTGGGCACCACTGCCATGCCCAGCGCTGGCACGAGCTGCCTGCAGGCAGCAGCAGGTTGTTATAACAACAGAGGAGCCACAGACAGTGGCTTTCATTTCAGAACAAAGGCAGGAAAGCAAGAGGGGGGGCCAGGCTGTCTCCCAGCCACCCTCAGCCTCACCGGCGCTCCCCTGCCCTGCCTGAAGCACCCGAGTTCCTGTCAGCCCCCAGCGATGCCTTGGTGTGGGCAGTGCAGGGACTCAGGAAAATGTGAGCCCCTCCAAGAAAATCCTAATTCTTCCTTGGAGTAAGGAAAAAAGTTCACTTCAGCTGGCATGCAGCTTTTTGCCCTTCGGCTGTGGGTGAACTTGGAACACTACTGAGGCACTTCCCAGGAGCTGGATCGCCCCGTGTCCATCCCACAGCAGCACACAGCCCCCTCCCATGCCCGAGCCCATCCTGCAGTGTGCCAGCTCCTGGCCAGCTCGGGGGGCAGTGGCTGGGTTACCTTGGCAGCCCCGATCTGCTCCTTGCGGAACTTCTCCAGCGGCGTGATCAACACCTCGCTGGCGTTCTCGATCTGGGGGCAAAGACAGGCATGGCTCACCTGTGCTGCTCCACAGCCTTTTCCATGGAAACCACCCCCAACAGCCCCCAGACCCCCCCAGGCTTCACCCCTCCATGTCTGCACACCCGTGAGCCCCCTGCCCCAGCACCGGCCGCTCTCCAACAGCAGCACTCCGTTCTTGATGCTTTTCAGTGCTTCCCACCAAGCCACCCTCTCCCTCCTCTGCCCTCCCCTGCAGCTTCATGCCAGGTGAGGGAAGGAGCACTGGGGCTGGCAGTCGCTGTCACCACGGTGCCCCAGGTGCCACCATCCCCTGCTCAGGACAGCTGGGGCCGTACCATGCGCATCCGCTCGTCTTCCAGGTTCCGCAGCACCGTGGCAAACTCCTGCAGGGACTTGGCTGGAAAGGACACAGTCAGCATTGAACACCCAGTTTTTACAGAAAGAGGCTGCACTCAGGGGTTCTGCCTGTGTTTTGCGTGGGGAGGTTTGGGTTTTTATTATCTTTGCTCTCTCCCTAGAAAGGTTCCTGACGCCTACAGCTGGCAGCAGAGCATCCCCAGGGCCAGGCTTCCTCCTCCAGACAGCAACATCCTCAGCTCAACCCTGCCCTGCCCACAGCCAGTCATCAACCAGCCCCGGAGCACAGCACTGGCCTCCAGCCATGCCCAGCACACGAGGGGCAGCTCCCCAGCATGGGCACAGCACCAGGGAGACCTGGATGAGGAGCTATTTCTGCTGAGAGACTGGGCACAAATAAACAAGCACAGTTAAATCAGGGCTAAAGCTTCTTTGCTCTCCTGGCTCCAGACGATGTGCACAGTAAGCTCTAGAAGTTCAGCTGGGGCAGGAGCAGCATGAGGGAGGGAAGAGGCTGAAACCACTGCCCTGTGCCAGGAGAAGCTCTGTGGCAGAGCCAGGCTCAGTTCAGAGAGCCTTGCCAGGCTCGGCAGTGCTGATTCCCTCAAGCACAGGATTCTGTGTGACACTGCTGCTCCTCTGCTTCAGAGCACAGCCCCTTGCAGGTTATCCAGCCACAAGCACCTCCAGATGCTCCTCTCCAGTGCAAAACATGCAGCTAACTGAGGTGGTTTCAGATATGGGCAATCTCCTCTCTTTCCTATCTGGCAGGCAGCACAGATTTAGGCCAAGAAGCAACAAGTGATTCCCTGGGGAAGGCTTTGCTGCTGTTCAGCCAGGAGGAACGAGGCATTTCCAGCAGAGAAATTCCCTGGGTGTCCTGGTTGAGTTTCCCTGCCTGCCCTGCTCAGGCAGTGGCTGCAGGAGCAGCAGCACTCACCTATGCAGATCTCGTCGTCGGTCTCGGCGTCGCCGATGCAGCGGAATTTGAACTCGTTGAGGGAATCGGCGAACTTGCGCTTGGCGGCCGACAGGTCTGTGAGAGCAGGAGCAGGGAATACCCGTGGGGAAGTGTCCCTACAGCAGGTAGCAGGCAGAGACACATCCCAGCCAGGAAACACCCACAGAGGCACCCCTGCCACCAGGCAAGCCCCGGAGCGCTGCCCTTCTGCACCCACCCCAGGGACAGGGCTCTGTGGGGTCCCCGGCAGCACCCCCACAATACCCTGCAGGAGACGAAACTCCAAAATACCAAAAGAGCCACCCCAGAGCTCAGACCCAGAGCCACGGGGCAGCAGCAAATGGTGGCCCACAGTGACACTGCCCCCCAAGAGATGGCACCTCTGCCATGCTGCTGTCCCGCGGGGAGCTGCATTGCTTCCCGAGCTGCAGATTCCCTCTGAGATCTGGATCCTATTAAGTTCTTACTCGCAGTGACCTGAGTGGATCCAGGATTGGCTTTTCCAGGCAGCCTTTTAACCTGGCACACACAGACAGTGCTGGGCACCGTGAGGCCACCAGGGGCCCCGCGTGGCTGCAGCACTGCCGGTGTGAGGAACTTGGTGTTCGCTCCCCGTGCCTTTCTTCACTCAAAGCCCAAAATTCCATGGGTTTTTCCCTTTCCCAGCACGGGTGGAAAATGTGTGTGCACGCAAAGGCCGTTTCCTCCTCTCAGACACCAAGAGCCAAGAGATAACCACACCAGAGTCCAAGTGTTTTGCTTTCCCCGTGGGATAAGGGAGTTGGCAACTCTCTCCAAGCATCAGAGCCGTTGTCCCAGTATCGCTGCTGACAGCCCTGGGGTTAATCCTGCCCAGTTCAGTCCCGGCTGCCTGCACACAACTGCTTCCTAAGGCAGCAGGAAACCACCCAGCCAAGGCAGGCAGGGAGAGGGAAATCCTGGGAGCTTTCCAGTGGAAAAGTACAGAGGGGGCTTCTTCAAGGAGAAGGTTCACACATAACAGGATTTGCACTTTGCTCCCTGGAGGATGGAACGAGCATGGCTTTTACACCCTTCCCATGCCTGCAGCTGCCAGGAGTCTCCACTGGCACCTACAGAAGCAAGAAATGTATTTTAAGGAAAATTCCCAGGTGCTACTGGGCAGGGTTGAGAAGAGGGACTCGGGAGGGTGGGAGGGTTTGTCCCAGCTCAGCACAGGGCTGAGCAAAGGGCACTGGCACAGTGCTGTGCAGCTGTCCCTGCTCCCTTCCATGCCCATGCTGGTGTCAGCAGCAGAGCAGCCTCCTTCCCTCACCAGAGCTTGTTGGAGCAGCCCCAGGGCTCGGGGACCTTCACCCAGTCCCTCCTGCCTGGCCTGGAATAACCACAAAGATGCTGTTAATGATCTAAGGAGCCATTTCCTCTCCCGCAGCCCTCTCCCGAGCCCTTGGCCACCTTCCATGTGCCACGTCCCCACCTGAACCAGGCCTGATGTGACACCCCTCGTGCCCTCCACCGCTGCACCCCAGAGCTGGAGGCTGCTGCAGCACAGGGATGAACACCTGGGGGAACTGAGCTGCCCAGCCTGGGCCAGGGCCACCCTCTCCAGGGCCACCCTGTCCAGGGCCACCCTCTCCTGCACCTGAGAGCGAGGGGCAGGGCAGGGCTCTGGGAGCAGGCACGAGCCAGAGCAGCACTGGCAGCAATGGCCCACAGTGCTTATAAATAGGCAAGGGAGAGGCAGGGGGAGAGGGAGATAACTCCTGGAGTGATAAAGGATAAAATTAGCAGCAGGATTGGCCAGGGAATGAGAGAGGGACACCCATGCCCACCCTGTGGGGCCCCACTGTCCTCCCCAAGCCACTGCCACCCCAGCTTCCCCTCTTCCTGAGACCCCTCAACTACATTTTGGGACAACACCCCTGCAGTGGAAGCAGGAAGGCTCAGGGAGAACATGGCAGCCCCTGGATGAGCCTCAGCTCCTGAGGGTTCTTCTTCCCCAGAGCTGTGGACAAGCAAACCCCAAATCCTGCAAAGGCTCAACAGAATCTGCTGCTTCCTCTCACACAGGAGCAAAACCACCCAGACACTGCACAGGAGTGCACCAGGGCTGCACCAGGGGCTGGCAGGTTTTCCTTCCAACTTCTCTGCTGGCTTGATCAGTCAACCACAGCATCAGGGAAAGCCACCACAAAAAAAGCCAGAAAAAATGCTTCTGCCTGAGCAACACAACCAGCTGGGGCTGCAGGTCATCATCATCATCCTCACCTCCCATGGCTCCCTCTTCCCATCTGGACTGGTGAGGATGAGATAATCCCTTCAGGAAAGTCCCCTTGATAGAAAACTGGCAGACCCAAGTCCACCTGCACAGCTGCAGCCACCAAGGATGTTAAAAAATGCCCTTTTAAAAGTGATGCATTCTCCCCATCCAGTGCATCCTCAGGAGCAGCAGGAAGGGGGACAGCTCCCAGCAGGTCAGAGGGCAGCAGCTTTTCCTGGAAGCAGCCTCAACAACCCCTCTGCTCCCCCACAGCCAGCCCAGGGCTCACCCCACCTCCCTCCCCCTGCAGCCCAGGAGCTGGGCAATTCTGGCTGAATTCCACCCCAGCCCCACACCTCCAGCTCCAGGGCTCCCCCAAACCTGGCTGAAGGGACCTGCTCCAGCCCCAGGAATCCTGCAAGGGATCAGCAGCAAGGGAGTACCTCGTGCTCCCTGTGTCCCCCTCCTCCTCCTCAGCTACTCAGAGTTTAATCTTTCTGGGAAGTGGTTGCTGTTACTATAAGGAGACTGAAGTGGTTGCTTCTGACATTAAAAACCTCTTCCAAAGGAATTTGGAAGTACTGGAAAAGCCGTTTTTAGGAGGATTGTGTCCTGATTTCCCACCCCTCCTCCCTGAGTGCAGCACCCTGGGCACTGTGGGGTGACCCCACTCAGCCAGGTCTGCAATCAGCACCCCAAAAACAACGGGTAGGACACTGAGGAGAACCACAACACATCAAACTGAGATGTGAGGAAGACAAATGTCCCCCCCTGCCTGGTCCTGTGCTGGAAAGATCAGGTCAGCCAGGGCAAAGTGACACTGCTGGCTCAGGTGGGGCTCTCCCCAGAGCTGACTCTGCAGCCAGTCTGCTGCTCTGGCTGGGAGGAGCAGAAAGCTCTGGCTCAGCTGGACCCAGGACAGGGGCAGAAGCAGCAGGATGGCTGGTTCAGGTTATAGACAATCCTGCTGCTGAGTCTGGCTGTGAAGGGTTAATCCCCACAGAGGGGGAGCAGAGGATGCTGCTGCTCCTGGCTCTGGGCTCACACGGAGCAGGATTTCTACACTTCCTGCAAAGAAAACTGCTTAACAGCCTGTATTTACTGTTCAAGTGGACAACAGGAACTGAGACTCCTGCCCCTTCCTTCCCCCGCAGCACAGAGCAGCAGGACAGGCTGTCTGTCCCTGCAAACCCCCAGAGGGACAGGAGGACAGTGCCAGCGCCCAGCCCCTCTGCCCCAGGCAGGGCAGGCCTGGGGTGTCACCACCTGTCAGAATCTGAGCTATTGATGATCCTGAGATTGTAAAAGTCTCTGTCTGTCAGCCCCTCTGCCAAAGCAGAAGCCATAATTGGTCTGTGCTGGTTTCCAGGTTGTTTATTCTGTTTATCTCTCACATGTTCTGCTGCCCTGCCCAGCTCTGTCCTGCAGGGCAGCGTGTGGGGCTCTGCCCTCAGTGGGATGTGACAAACATTAAATACCAGAAACTCCCTGGGCTGGATTTACAATAACGTGCCAATATCTGTCACCTACGTTGGACAGTGTGTCCCCAGCCTGAACCAACAGAAAAATGCCAACACCACAGTGAGACATGGAGGGCAGGAAGAAGGAGAAAAAGGACAAGGCACACCCAATTTCCTCCATCTTGTCCCCTTTGGGCCCCTTATCTAGAAACTTAAAATTTTACTTTTGCACCCGTGCCACACTTAATTATTACTGATCTCAAACCCTCAGAGCTGGTAATTCATCCTGTAAGATTGAAAACTCTTTTCCATGGCCAGAGATCACAGGCAGTGTCTCTGGGGGCTCTGTCCAGGGGGTTCCTGACCCCTGCCAGGGTCCCAGGGCAGCCAGAGGGAAGCTCTGGATCCCCACACCCAGCCACAGCCCTCACCTGGCTGCAGGGAACAGGACACAGCCCCTGGGCACTGGGGCAGCACCTCCACAGCCCCACAGCTCCCCGGGCAGGGGCCAGCCAGGACGGGGAGCCCAGGGAGGAGCTGCTCCCATCAGCAGCGGGATCACGGCCTGCCAAGGGAGCAGCAGCATGGTGTCTGTCCCCACAGCCAGCACAGCACCCTCCTGGGCTCACACAGCACTCCTGCAGCTCAGGGGCACCCGGGAGAGCTCTGGGAAAGGTCAGAGCTGGGGATGCCAGCTGGGCCTGGCCCATGGGTGCACGGGGTGCCCTGCACAGGACACTCGTCCATCCTGGCCCCACAGCTCCTGCAGGAACCCAGCAACAAGAACCTCATGCCCAAAAGCAGCTCCTGCAGGAACCCAGCAACAAGAACCTCATGCCCGAAAGCAGCTCCTGCAGAAACCCAGCAACAAGAACCTCATGCCTGAAAGCAGCTCCTGCAGCTGCCAGCCTGGAGCTTCACCCACCCAGCCCCAGCCCTGGCAGCTCTGGGGTCAGCACCAAGCACCAGGGCAGCGTCACAAACGCTTCGTTTGCTCCAGAAGGCTCAAATCCCCTCTCTGCTCTTCCCAGCAAGGTCAGCAAAGCCCTGCTCCATGAGACACTGCCTGGCCCAGCCCCAGAGTTACTTCCACACCGAATTAGCACTGATTTGTTTATTAAACAGCCTCTCCACCAGGTGGTTGGAGTTAATCAGTGATTTAGGATGGGACGGCAGCTGCTGGCAGGTTCCCCCTCTGAATCATCATGAGCAAGTATATAAAACCAGATGGGCAGAGCCCACCCCACCTCCAGGACAGCTTCTGCCATTCTGTTCTGCACAACAGCCCGTGGAGAGGCTGCCACGGCTTGGCACACGCTGCAGATGGAGGTTAGAGGGTGCCAGGGACAGCAAAGTGCCCCAAGGAGCAGGGCCAC